AAACAAAGTAAGTTCTCAAAGTTACTTACAGTTTGCGAATCCTTAACGTATCGCTAAAACATACTCCGATACTTGAGGATCCAAAACGAACACCAACACGTGCTTCAATGTCGCACACAAAGGACATGTTTCACGTGCTCGCGCTAGCCCCGCGCACTCAGTAAACCCGACACACTCAGACGCGTATAGATTCTAAAAATAGCTCAGAGGGCATGGAGTACAACTGATTTATGATGGATTTTGAACCTCTGTCATATAATATAGAAAGCAGACTCGGAATAGAGCTGTTATCTTTAAATTTATAGAATACTATCAACACGTCATTGCTGCCGTTATGGATAAGTCTCTTTGGAAGAAAATGTTTCCAGTTTGTATTTTAGAACTGATTGTAAGAGGAAAATAGTATCCTCCAGAATGTCAACAAAAAACATGGATGATTGTCACGTCTGGTCCATGGAGATCCAGCTTTCTTAGGGTCTCGCGTCTCCAGAACCACTTCGGAGGACACAACCCTGACTCGTGTCCAGACGCCTGTGTCTTGACGAAGGGAAGCAGCCTGACGACTCAGGATCGCGCGTTTCTTTTTCAAGAAGGGTGGTAGGTCGGTCTGTATACTTATACCGGACTTTCTGAGGAGTTTCCTGGCGTCGAACACTGCGTCACGGTCAGGGATATACTTAAAGGTGGCTATGATGCTCCTTGTGGGGTTTGCGTTGTGCTTCCTCTGGTATTCAGAAACTGGGAGTCGATGCACAATTTTGAAAAACATGTCAAATGCTCTCTGCTCGGTAAAGTTCAGTTTTTCAACCATGAACTCACGCAGTACCCTCTCTGTGTTCTCTTGAGGAGATTCTGGTATACCATAAAACAGGAAGTTCTGTTTTCTATCGTGAATATCCTTGAGGATGTGTTGACGCTCCAGTTGAACTCGCTTCTCCTTCTCCTCACATAACTCAGTTCGGAGATTTTGCAAATCAGTGTCCTGTTTCGCGACATCAAATTCGAGTCCACTTACTTTAGTTTTCATGTCCTGAAGTTCGCTTTTGACGGAGTCGATAGAATCTTGCAGCTCATGTTTTTTCGCTTTAATGAGGTCGGCTAGTCTCTTTTCAGATGCTAGTATAATGTATACAATGCTTACAAATGTATATGGACCGAACTCTGATAGTCCTTCCTTTTATATATCTTTATTTGATAAGATTGTAAATATGGGTAACGATTCAATTGCAGTATGTGGAGATTGGAATCTTGTCTTAGACCCCTCCATAGACCTTGAAAACTATAAACACATTAATAACCCACAGGCTCGTAAGACTGTCTTGGACCAAATAGACAATTTAAACTTAATAGACGCATGGAGAGAGTTAAACCCTAAAACAAAAATGTATACATGGTGGAAAAAGAATCCTCGCCAACAAGCCAGATTAGATTTCTTCTTGGTAACTGAAGACCTCTTTAACATAAATAGTAATATATCCATCATACCTGGTTATAAAAGTGACCATTCTGCTGTAACGTTATCTTTATCAACACAAAAAATAAGGAAAAGGGAAGCGCTATTGGAAGTTTAACACATCATTATTGAGACGAGAGGAATATATAACACTAGTAATTGACTTACTTAATGAAACAAAACGAGAATCACATGAGACCCTACATATTCAGATGAAGAATTAAACGAGATTAATGATGAACACTTACGTTTGACTATCAGTGACACTCTATTTTTAGAGACATTTTTAATGAAACTGAGAGGAAAATCCATCTCATACTCTTCATATCTTAAGAAAAGCAGAACTGCAAAATATAAAGAACTAGAGGAGAATATATGTCATATAGAAGATGAAATAAGAAGTAACTTCCAAAACGTTAATGAAACACTTCTTGCTGATTTATCTAAAAGTAAAATTGAATTGGAAAAAATAAAAGAAGAAGAAATAAAAGGAATCCAAGTTAGAAATAGAATCCAGTGGTATGAAGAAGGGGATAAACCCACAAATTATTTTTGCCATTTAGAAAATAGAAACTATACAAACAAACTTATTAACTCCCTTATTTGTGATAATGGTGAAGAAATAGCAGATGGACGAGAAATAATAGTGGAACAAAAGCGATTCTATGAAAGCCTGTATAAATCAAATTGCGACATAGATGAAGACATTAAAGCTGTATTCGAACATATTGCTACTCCTTCTTTAAATAAAGAACAGTCAAATGAACTAGAGCGCGATATTAGTGTTGAAGAACTTTCGCATGCTGTTAAATCAATGAAAAATAACAAAAGTCCAGGTTTAGATGGCTTCCCTATCGAATTCTTCAAAATTTTTGTGGAAAAATCTGAAAATTTGGATTCACCGATATATAAAAGTAACTTTCAACCAGAATTCTATGACTACGACAATGAATAGAGGAGTAATTACATGTATCCCTAGGCCAGGTAAGGATAGAAGATACCTAAAGAACTGGCGACCTATCTCTCTCCTAAACGCATTGTATAAAGTTTTAAGTACTTGTATAACAAACAGGATTAAAAAAACTTTGAATTTTCTTATAAACGAAAATCAAACAGGATTCATTCCAGGAAGATGCATTACGGAAAACATTAGACTTCTTTATATCATTATGTTTGAAACTAAAAGGCAAAACATAAAAGGTTTACTAATCTTAATTGACTTTGAAAAAGCTTTCGACACCGTGTCGAAATTATTCATTAAGATGGTCCTAGACAAGTTTGGTTTTGGAGGTAACATTCAAAGATGGGTTAACATATTGATTTCTAATGCATCCTCGTGTATGATACAGAATGGTCACTTGTCCACGTTTTTCGATAATGAAAGGGGATGTAGACAGGGTGATCCCATATCTCCATATTTATTCTTATTGGTAGCAGAAGTACTAGGAATAATGATCAGAGACAACCACAGAATAAAAGGAATTGTTTTAAACAACATCGAACATGTTATTGCTCAATATGCAGATGACACTGAATTATTTTTGGACGGTTCCGAAACCTCTCTTAATGAAGCTATGAAAACTTTGCTTTCCTTTTACAAGATGTCAGGTTTGAAAATAAATATTGATAAAACAAAAGTAGTATGGCTAGGCTCAATGGCAGGTAGTAAAATAGTCCTATCCCAGGACTATAAGATGGATTGGCATAATGAGAATTTCGAAGTATTGGGAATCAAATTAAATGCTCATTTAGAAAACCTATGGGTAATTAATACAAAGAAGAGACTCGAAAATATAAAAAGAATTCTACTGAATTGGAAAAGACGCAATTTAACGTTTATAGGGAAAATAACCGTAATTAAAAGTTTAGCTTTATCCACGATTGTCCACATCTTCTCTTCTCTCCCTAATCCCCCAAAAACATTTATTACTGATTTGAACAGATTATTCTTCAAATTTATATGGAATGATAAAATTGATAAAATAAAATGAATTAATTTAGTACGAAGGTACGCAGAAGGTGGTCTAAGAATGGTCGACGTGAAAACCTTTATCGACTCTTTAAAACTTTCATGTTTGAAGAGATATATTTCAAAACCTAAGAATTATGCCCTCGCCGGTTTCCCTCTACAAAACATTCTTTTTTTTAGGAGCCAACATCACAAAACATTATTATATTAAAAATCCATTTTGGAAAGATTCTCTTGATGCCTGGCATAGATATGTTAAAAGATCGGTATGTAACAATAACGACATTAATTAAATACTCATGCAGCCACTATGGTTAAATCACCAGTGTAACCAGCCAAGTTTGATCATTCATAACTGGATTAAATGTAGAATAGTTTATATTAAAGATATTTGTAACGACCATGCATTTCTAACATTTGCGGAACTTAGGGCAAAATTTGGTATTAAAGGTACTGTACTTGACTTTAATCGTGTTCTCCTTAGTATACCCAAACAGTGGAAAGACGTTATACGAACAAATAACAATTTTAATATACCGTCGTTATCTATGTGCTCTCCTTGGAACGATTTGATTAAACCTAGTAAAGGGTCAAGGATATTCTATGATAATTTTATATCTGATTATAACATTCCGAATGTGTGCCTCAAATGGAACGGGGAACTAAATGAGTTGTTAAATTGGAAAACCATATTTTCACAATATAGACAATGCACTAAAGACACTTAAACTCTTAGATTTTCAATATAAGTTTTTGCATAGAGTCATTTACACTAAACGTGAATTACTAAAAATGAAATTGATAGATAATGACCTATGTACATTATGTGGTTCAGTAAGTGAGGATATTTACCATGTATACCTTGATTGTCCAACCATCAAAATGTTCTGGTCAGAATTTAACAATTTTATAACTCAAGTCCTTGGTAAAACGTATGAAATGTCAAATCATGATATTCTATTTTGTTGCAGTAGTAACCACTTACTCAACCACATGATACTATTGGCAAAGCCACATTTTTAAGTAATGAATATAAAAGGACACAAACCTAGCTTCACCATCTACAGAACATTATTAAAAGATATCTACGAGATAGAGAAATTTATCGAGAAGAAAAATGATAATATGAAACATTTTTACAGAAAATGGAATGTCCTAGATGCAGTCCTGTAATTTATTTTTTAGTCTTTTAATTCTCTGTAATATTAGCTAGCATCTCAATTGTTAATCTATATTCCCAGTACCATATGTTATACACTGTCTGCTTTTTATTATGCAACCTGTACCATTCTACTCTACCCACATATCTTGTTCAAATGTAACCAAGTAAAGTGAATAAAAATACTTTACAAAAAAAGAAATACCTATTTCAGACATTGTCAAAGACAATCTATTATAACAATGAATGATATGACAGGTATGATATGAAACTATGTGACATTTTGATGGGGCTGAGGTCTGCTTTCAGGAAGTAATGACATCTTGGCTGGTGACAAATTAATTTCATGATTTAGCGTAACTACAAGAAAAAGGAATTAAAAATAATTCTTTTGCTGGATCCACTAAAGACCAACTTACCATGTTTCTGGCATTGTTCTTCATATGTGATAATACCAGTTGGGTCAGAGAGAAGGGTGCTCTTCTTCGACACTGTTGAAAATAAAAATTGGATGATTCTCAATGGTTAATACACTCAATAATTTCACTTAATGTTCATTTGGTGCAGTAAGATAATTCCAAGATGGCTGCAGCATTTAGTTTACTTTAGATTTGATATAAACATATTTTATTCATTGAGGAAAAGGATTGGGCACAAGTTATCCAACTTAATGACGCTCTCTCCCAATATTTACAACAATTATACAGAGAACATATGCATGAGATATCTTGAGTTTGAGAATATAACAGATTGGGATGAACAGAGGAATCGTTTAGTTTGATTGATGTAATGATGGACATGTTTGAAGATATTCAGATTTTCTTCAGTTGAGAGGTCTGCATTGCCATATAAAATAAGACATATATCTGGTAAATATCTTTTGTAAAATATCACCAATGTTAGCTAACAAAGTTTCTCTATGTTTTATAATGGGGACAATCTAAGAAATAATGATATACATTTTCACAGAAATATCCACAAGAACAGGATGGATCGGTTATAATGTTGATTCTATACAAATCATAGTTGAGCGTACTTACATTGTATCTTAACTTTGTGTGTACGTATACCAGATGAAAAGAGTGATTGGGCACTATTACGCATTGTTGTAATGTTTCTTTTAAATGGCGAAATGGAGTCACAGTTTCTTACAGTTGACGGGAGATTGTTCCAGGCTTTTATGGTTGACGGAATAAATGAAGATGTGGAATATTTTAGTCTTGTATTGGGCACAGTATAATTTTCAGCATTACCTAAGTTATAATGGGTTCTTTTTTCTACAACAGGTGGTAACAATTCGTTTAAAAAAGACGGGGCGGTGTCATATTTAATCTTATGAAACAAATTTCATTTACGCTTCTTTCTTCTCTCTGATAGCAATTCCCATCCAGTCTCGTAATAAAGAACTCTACTCGGCATGTATTTGGGTAGGCCTCAAGCTGTAGTCTTTCTAACTTGTTCGAATCAGACACCCATCCCATACCTCACACGCATATTCAAAATGTGGCCTTATAAACACTGTGTAAATTCTTGATAACGTTTTCCTATTCAATAGATATTTAAATTTTCTTAAGGTACTGATCATTTTAGAGGTTTTTTTCACAATATATCCGATGTGACAAGACCAACTGACCCAAGATGTTTGTGAAAATCAACGCTAACAATCACAGTTGCTAATTTATACTACCAAGTTTAAAATACCATTTATCTATTTTCAAAACATATAATTCAAAATTTATCAAGTAATTATATGTCCTTTAAAAATTCAATTATTAAATGATAATTAATGTTATAAAAAAGATCTGTAACTGTTTTGAAATTAAAATATTTATCCCTTGTGATGGAAAAATCAATAGTCAAGCAGGACATGCTAGACCGTGATTCTTTCATCACCACAGGGGATATTCGTCTGTACAAGAAAACCGGATGTTGCACCTCTGCAACAACCCATTTTCCACTGTATAGTTTTCCAGGGACCACCCAGGCTTCGCGTTCTCAGTTAGTTTAAAGGTCACATGCAACCCAAAAATCAAACATAATTAAAACACAATTATCACTTATTCATGACATATAATATACATTGCTGATTATGAAAAAACATATAAACAAAATTATAAGTGTACAATCGCAAATCAAAAGTGCAATATTTCGTACTTGGGTTTACTTTCCAAGAAACGAAGCAGCCGGGATACCTAACCCAGACAGAGCGGGTGGGTGTGCACTCAAGTGTAAAGGCTGGTCCATTTGCAGATGCCCTCACGGCTCATTGTGTGTGTATATAGAGATGTTGGTTTTTGTAACTACATGCTCATTTTTTGTGTATAACATTTTGCAATCAACAGATATCATAACATGTCATGTGTTCAAGTATCACACCTGCCTGTCTGTGTAATTACATAATGTGACAGAGACCGAACTCGGGCCATAAATCAATGCATTTTGTTTATGGTGTATAGCCTGATTGGTGTTAAGTTCAAATTGCATGTGGTCAGTGATAGCAGTTGTGTATTGAATATTGTCATTAGCAGACAGGCAGGAAGACACACAGGTGTCAATAACACAAGACATTGAGTTTTGTCTGTGACAACAGTGATAAATCTACAAATTCAACTGCCTGAGTCCCGGGACTCACTGAGCTGAATAACTATGAGTCCCTCAGAACTTTTATGAGTCCCTAACAAAACTTAATGCCACAAATATTATTCAAACTCGTTTATTGTTACTATAGGTTGCACAGTGAGTCTGACCGGTCTGGGATATTTCACAGAACAGAGCTGGTAGTACTTAAATCGCAACAAATGGAGACTCTTCCATTTTAACTTGTAGTTCATACCCTATCACATCAAACACAGATGTTAACAGATCACTGGCAGTTGTTGGAGAATCATAGTTGATTTTACCTTCCTTGAGAATTTCAGTGTCTTCGTTTTCAAATTCATATAAAAAGTCAACAAAACGTTTAAACTTTGTCAGTGGGATGTTTTCACAAGCTAACCAATCAACAGATTTCATCAAGGCGACAGCTGCTTTGTCTTGTTTTTCATAATACATGCAGTTGCAACCTGGAAATCATCACAAAGTTTTGGAGCCTGAACGGACAGTTTATTATCATTATGATGAGATGTCTGGTCAAAGTTATATTTTAAAACTTTCTGCATTTAGCATCTTGTGTCATACCATTTTCAGTACATAGTTATTAAATAGTACAAAATATTAAATCACCTTCCCTGTCATAAGTCAGCCATAACCGATGAGTATCAGGCCAACCTAACTGAAATGTCCTAACTTTGTGTTTTCTGACAGTATCTATCTGGGCGGCATGTTGACTGCTATATTATAAAAATAACAGCAGGGCTCTAGACCTTTGACAATCAAATGTTTTCTTTTACTAGAAAAATAAAAAAGTTACTAGCCAGACCAATGTAACTTCACTGTAATATTTTGTGCATAAAGTTCTACAATTCCAACCAAAGTTTTGTTTTATTTCTTCACTCTGTTCAGTGATTCAAAAACAAATTACATCCAAAAAAATATGCCAACTGGAAGCCACTTTAACAAGTATGAACACAAATAGTAACTGTCTTACTTTAACTATTAACATTAAACAAATTATATCATAAATGTCATCATAATTATAAATGAAATGATTCATTTATATGATTACTTTCCCAGGACTTGAGATGCAGAACCTTAAACAGAATGACATTCTGTCTCAGCAGAAATTTAACCTGTCAAATGTCACTTTCACTTTCAAATTACATGCAGATAGATTTAACAGTTGTTAAGCTACTGACTAAAGCTTCCTGCTTTTCTCTAACTGGTACTGAGTGCTCACTCTGTGGATTCAGAGTCACAATGTTCATTGACCAATCAGTTTGTCTTGAAAAACCTCATTTGCATATCGCTTACCTCCCTTAGCCTGTTTGTGTCTATTTATAGAGTGTAAAAACTAGGTTAGTAGTTCTGCACATGCTCGAGCAATGAATCTTGGGATCTCATTTGCATACCGCTTACCTCCCTTGGTGTGACCTAGATGTCTATTTTTGGAAACGCGGAAATGAACTTAATATCATGACGAATGAAAGCTGCGATCGTTTTACAAATAATGTGTACTTATTAGCTCATGTCAATTATTTGAGAATGGAAGTTAATCTACGGAGATTTAGCCATGTATACTTTGATATTGCCTCTCCACAAAAATAAACATTAGTGTTTCATCAAAACCTTGCGTCCAATAGGACGCACATGTAAAATAAATATGAGTCCTGTCAGAATTTGTTGCGTCAGAGACGCGGGACGCGGGGGTAGATTTATCCCTGGACAACGACATATCTATATCACAGTTAGAAATTCTGTCAACGCTAAATAATGACATTGCTAATAGTATCGAACTGAGAAAGTGACTCGGTAAGAAGAACGTGTGGTGAAATAGACAAATGAAATTATATAAACAGTTAATTTACTGTCATAACATATAAAAAGCTCGCGTCTGTGAGATATCAACAAAACATTAGAAAAATAGCTCACATCAAAGCCTTCACCGAGTATTCACCGGACAACCCGCTTCCAAGCTGTGCGAACCGCTGGGGGAAAATTAGTGAATCGCTTGAACTACGATTTCGCGCGTTTTTTTTCATCGTGTTATTTTTCAACTTTATAAGTTGAATTTGCATTTTTGACGATTTGTTTCGGTAAGTCCATACCGAAAGGTATCAGAATCTGCAAAGTTGTGTTTTACGTTGCATGTGACCTTTACGGTATTCCCCACCTTTAATAAATACAACATTTTAAATATGACAAAATAAAGTCTTTCTCCACATATCTGGAACCAGATGATATTCTATTTCAATTCTTGTCATAAATGTCTATTTCAAGCAACTTCCCGACTGAAGCTGACGTAGCTTGTTTTACTCCTGATATTACACACGTGATGACCACGCGGTGCTTTTGTTCACTTTTACAACAAAATAATTTTTATGCAAAGTCCTGTGTGAAGTTTTAATGCTTAATTTCTTTACATTTAGCGAGAAACAAGGCAAAATATCGACTGTACGCAGCACCGGAGAGTTGCAGGAAATACATATGGCACTGAACGGGGAGTTGTATGATAATGATGCATGTATTTGAACAAAATCCTTGCTACAATGCATACTACATTTCTCCCATTACTGATGGCGACTTTCCATTACTACCATTGTACTCGTTATGTTTCGGACTTTGAGACTATTATTTGTCATTCTATTGACGCTCATCAAGGTCGGACATTGAATTTTGAATTGTAGCACCAGCAAAATTAAACTTGAGCTTAAAACCTTTCAAAATATTGTGCCAGCTGATCTGATGAAAAATAACCAAACATGTATTCCTGATCGCGAGTTGCTCACGGTAAAAAGTCGAGATATCAATCGACCAGTGGAAGCAACAGTGTACTTCACACGAAACGTCTGATGAATCTGTCACTTATAAATCAAACAACGTTTCAGTCATTCCT